ATTAAGAATGTTGAATTAGATTTCAACTTTTAAAAAAGGCGAAAAGTAAAACTTTTTGCCTTTTTATGTTACGCTTAATCAAGTTAGAATACTTCAATAATTTTTATTTCAAAAGCATTTGATAAGAATTCAGTGTATTCTTACATAGATCAGTAATGTCTTTCATGTTACTTTCATCGATTTGCATTGGATTATTTGTTAAGAAAGAATTAACCTTTTCAGCTAACATAATATTATTTAAATGAAGAAGCCCATTATCTTCGGGTTCAAATTTATATAATATTCCTCCAACTTGAACTGCATCAAGACCCCCTTCTTTTAAAGCTGATCTTTCGGCCTTAACAATATCTTCTGTATTTATTATCAATATTTTATATCCTTTTTTCTCACAGGATAATGGGAATATTCTCACTAAATCGATTTGCATAATAACCATCCGTAATGTGGGCTACAAGTGACTGGTAAACCATATCATCTCAGCATATGAAAATCAAGCAATTGATATACCCGATTAGTTATCTTTTCTGTGTGCCGGTCATTAATCACTCATATTTCGGATGTACGCTTTAATAGCCCAAGTAATTATTGTATACTCTGATAATAAGGCCAATAGCTTTTTTAGGCTACATGAAAAATGGACTATCTAAAGTGCAGCATGTAATCAGTAAAGTGGCTATTGGAGTTATCAAAGATTATTAGCGTCAGGGTATCGAATCAGCATTGTTTAGTGAAGCTGAAAAATATTGGATATCTAATAATATTACACGAATTGAATTTTAAGTAATGCATTCTGACTTCCCTGCTATTAATCTCTATCTAAGAATGGGATATCAGATTGAAGGTATCACACGAAACGCGATTCTAGTTATAGGAAAGCTAGAAGATAAATATTTTATCTCAAAACTATTATCTTAATGTCTTGCTTTATTTTCAAATAAAATAAAGTGAATTATATTAAATCAGTAATAGAGTGGAAGATTTAAAGCGCGGAGCCAATTAAACCGTCATAGGAAGGATTATTATCCATCTTGTTAAATGTTCATTTTTTTTACATGGAGGGAAAGCCTGTCCTAATGTCACTGTAATTTTAACTGTGGGATGCATCATGCATGAATAAATCCCTGGGAGATAACAAATTTCTCCTGTCAAATTATGAATGCTATGATTAGGATCTTCGTTAGGGTCAGTATTTCTGGACATACTGTTGAAAATTTTTGGGATTAGTTAAGATGTTAGGGTTGTAGCTGCAAAATAATAATTAAATTTGATAAACCTTAAATTAACTTATAAATGGAACAAACCATTAATTCCCAAGTTGAAGCATCTGTAACAATTTTTATGAAGGACATTGACGATTTAGACCTTACCCTTATAAAAAGGAAATTGTCTGATACAGAAGAAGGCCTCGGCTGGGACAATGAATTATGCGATGAAGCAGAAATTGAGTATAAGAAATTTCTAGCACTCAAGAGAGCCTATCCTAACAATGACATCGTACCTAATAAGATTGTAGATGCATTTTGGCATCAACACATATTAGATACTGAAAAGTATGCTAAGGATTGTGATGATGTATTTGGGCATTTTATTCATCATTATCCTTATTTCGGAATGAATGGGCCAGAAGACGCACAAAACTTGGTCAATGCTTTTGAAGAAACTGTCAGCTTATATGAGTTACACTTCGGTGAATCATATGAATCGCAGGCTACAAGGTGTAAAGCACCCAAATGTAGAACACAGTG